AAAAAAAAAAAAAAAACTCAAAAAGATTGTAAGTATCGATAAAGTCCATGGTATGTTTACGACCCAAATTTAGGGAAAAAATACATAATTGTCCGACAATTTTTTTTTTTTTTAAATAAAAATTAAAACTACAGACTACCTTGAATTCTAAAAAGAGTAATGCTATAGAGCCCAACCCACTCGTATGACTTTGGGTTACAACTCAAGTATAAACTAGAGCCCAATCCACTCGTATGATAATTTGAGTTACAACTCAAGTATAAATGCATTATTGTAAATGCATTATTTTTTATTTATTTATTTATTTTATACTAAGAGCACCCACAATGCTTTGAGTCTCTTACAAAAAAGTCACATGTCATGTAGGAAATAGACTTAGGATATGTTTGGTAAACCAAATAAGCTAGCTTATAACTTATTTAGTTAGATTATAAGCTTCTTGTATTTAAATAGCCCCGTTTGGTAGGACGAACTTATTTGAAAAGCTCGAGCTTATTTGATAAGCTTGTTTAGGTAGCTTTTCAAATAAGCTAGTTCAATTTTTTATTCCAACTAGCTTATCAGCTCATTTTACCAAACACTTTTATCATATAAGCTAGTTTTTCAGCTATAAGTCATAAGCTATAAGCTATAAGCTCAAAAATTACATATAAGCTATAAGCTAGCTTATCAGCTATCAGCTAGCTTATCAGCTAGTTTTACCAAACATAACCTTAGTCTATAAAAAAGTGTTTCACAATGCAATTAAAAGTGGACATAGTCTAGCTTATGTGGCAATAAAAAAAAAAAGACCAAATCCACACTTGAGTCTATTTTTGACCCAAGTACAAATCCAAACACTCATCATTTATTCCTAATTTAATTTTTCTTTTAATAAAGGAAACATATTAGAACATTTTTATTGGTTAAAATATATGCTAGACCTAGTATTTTATTTTTGCATTGAATAACTTTTAAGTTTTTTTTACTTGGATTTGCCCATGTCATTTAAGACTTAAGTCAATTTATATGTCACATATATAGAATTAGACCCAATGCATTGTGGTGCTCTAAGAGTATCCACAATGCTTTAGGTTCAATTACAAAAAATTGTATGCCACCTAAGAAATAGACATAGTCTAAAAAAACGGATTCTTCAATGCAAACAAAAGTAGACTGGGTCCTGCTGACGTGGCAGCCTAAAAAAGAGACCCGATCTACCCTTAAGTCTATTTTAGACCCAAGTAGAGACTTATCTCCTTGTATTGGAATGAATTTTAGATAATTTTATCCAACCATCAAAAGACTTGAGTTTATTTACATGCCATATATGTAAGATTAGACCCAATGCATTGTAGATGCTTAAGTGACATACAATTTTTTTTTTTTTTTTTTTTTGTGATTGAACATGCTCTACATTTAACCTCGGTCTAAATAGCATCCAGTGGTCTAAAATGAAAGATATTTTGTTACGCACTTGAGTTAGCGAAACTGTACAAGGTTTCCACATCTCTCACCACCGGCAAGCAAGCCGAGCCTCCGCCGCGCACCATATTTCAACGGCTTCTGTTTCTCATTTCTTCTCCAATCAATCGGGCAGCGGAGAAGCTCCCCCATAAAATACAGGAAGAGGAACTAAAGTTCCAGGCGATTAGACAATGCCGAAGGGAGAAAAAACCGGTCTTGGCCGGGCTCTGGTGAAGCACCACAATCAGATGATTCAGCAGTCGAAGGAAAAAGGGAATTATTACAGAAGCCAGCAAAAGAAGGTCCTAGAATCGGTCACGGAGGTCAGCGACATCGACGCTGTTATCGAGCAGGCGGACGAGGCCCACCGCTTATTCTCAAACCTAAACCCGCCTGCAAATTTGCCTATCAATTTGTAAGCCCCAAAATGCCAACGCATACTTTTCTGTGTATATGTTGTGTTAACCCTTGTTAATTCTTTGTATGTTTCAGTTTTTTGTCAGAGAAAGAGTTTTGATTTTCCCATTTATGATTGTTTTTTTCTCCTGCACGTTGAATAGATTCATATATTCAATGAAACCTATGATTTTTCGAGTTTCAGGCTGTGTAAAGAAGAGGTGTTTGAAACATTAGTTATTATTTAGTTTATATTGCTATATTTCAGAAGATATTCTTTTTCCCCCCACGCGTTTGTTGGATGGTGGATAGTAGTACCAAGAGTGTTCAAACATAAGTTATGCAAACCCGTTTTTATTTTTTTCTCAACTGCCCGGTTAGTTGTGAATATTGGTCATTTAATGTGAGGTTTATCGTTATAGGCCTTTGGTGTTGTTTAATGTGGGTGTTTCAGGGACTCTGCTTCCAACGCTAGTGAGATGACGGCTGAGGAAAGAAGGGAGCAGCAGAAGAAAGAGGAGGCTTTGCATGCCAGCAGTCTTCGTATTCCTCGCAGGCATTAGTTTGCTGTCATATAATTTTGCAGTGATTTTTGTTTCTCTTTTTGGTTTTTGTTGATGGAAATGATGATTCCAAAAATTGTTTCCAGACCGCCTTGGAATTCCAAGATGTCAGTAGAAGAGCTGGATGATAATGAGAGACGGGCTTTTCTTGAGTGGCGCCGAAGCCTTGCGAGGTCAGCTTTTGGGATTAGATTTATATGATACTTGAACTGACTGGATACTGTGTGCCACCAAAGATATACATTGATACTTGCCCATTGTTTTGATGGTCTTTCTGCTCCCTTCTTCGGTGACGGAACATCTCATGATTATGATTTGCATTTCTTATGGTTTCTAACATGAAGGTTTTACGGGTTATGTGAAATACCTTGCGGAAGTCCAGTTATTTTTCTTTTGGAGATAATATTTTTGCTTCTAAGTTTTTTATTAGTCATGTTTATGAACATATCTTTGATTAGTGCCATTCTCATTGATTTCTCCAGCCTTCTGGAATAAAACATTGTTCCTGATAAGTTTGTTTTCTACCCTTGCCATTGCAGGCTTGAGGAGAATGAGAAACTAGTTCTTACTCCATTTGAGAAAAATCTGGATATCTGGAGACAGCTCTGGAGAGTGCTTGAACGTAGTGATTTGGTAAGATCAATATGTCTATGTTTTGAACAATCCGAATTGGCTAGATTACCTTGATATGGAGTGTTAATTAATCTCTAATATAGTTTATCAATGAATCTATCAGCACATTTAGAGAGTTGCATATTAAGATTATGGAGATTAATAAAATGAACACAATTGTTAATTGCAGTAGTTTTTTTGGGCATCGCCTCACTTAGACATGTCAAAACGGGCCAGCAGGGTGGCTGGCCCACAGCTTGCTAAAACCTGCAGTTTGGTAGGGCGAGCCGTCCCGCCAACTTGACGGGCCTATAAAAGGGCAGCCGGCCCAACCCCACCACGGGCCGTGGGCTTGGCTGGCTGGCCCGCAAAATAATTAAAAAAATTGAAACCAAATTAAGTAATTAACCTATCCAAACTCACTGAACCAGTGAACCCATCTAAAACCAAACCAAATTGAGTTGAAACTCTCCAGTTCTGTGTGCAAAAATCGGCCAAAAAAATTATGCCAAATTCAAGAAACTATATTTCTCAGTTTCTCGCCGCCGCCCGAAGGAAGCTGCAACAGCTCCTTGTCGCTGTCGATGGTCCAGCTTGACCGATTGGGTTGGGGATTAGGTAGCCGAGCTTATAGCCGTTAGTTGCTAGGGTTTGGGAATTGATTAAGTACACAGTCTGCGAGAAATTTCGGATTACGATTTTTGATTTTTGGTCTGGGCAAGTGCAATTTTTTGTTAGTCTGAACACTTGCCATTTTAAATATGCAAAAGTGAATTTCGGTTTACAAAAGTGAAAAGTCTGATTTTTGGTCCCGATTTACAAAATGAAAACATTTGTTTTTATTTTTGTAAAAGGCGGACCAGCCCGCGGCCCGCCTTGCCAAAGCTCGCGGCCTGTGCAGGTTGGCCCGTGTAGATCCGCTCTAGCGGGCCTGTAAAATCCCAACCAACCCACCCTTTTGACTCAGCGGGCCCGGGCCAGGCCGGCCGGCAGGCTGCAGCCCGTTTTGACTAGCCTAGCCTCACTAGAGAGGACCTCAATACAGCTGTCAAGAACTTTGTTAGTGCTGGATTAGTTGTGTGGCCTGATATTGATAGTTAAATGTAGATATGCTGATCTACATGGTCTCTTTAATCATTAAGTAGAAATCATTTAAATATTTTTCCTGTTTCTTTAGGTAGGTATCTGTGAAGTGGCAACTTATAATGTTCCTAGTAAGAATGCGTGAGAGATCTTTTATTGTCAATTATAATTGTTCTCTCCTAGGTTTTTTTTTTTT